CTCATAATGAGTATTTGGCAGCTCGCGGTAAGTCAATGACTGAGAGTGAGCTATTAAGTGATTCCAGCTGGAACTAAGTACCAAGAGGCCGGTCCGTAAACCATGGGGCAGAGTTTCCTCTGGGGTGTTGCCGCTTTTGTTTCTCTCCTTGGGTAGCCCCAAAAGTCACCAAAGGGCTGAAAGAAGGAAGACGTGGGAGGGAGAGAATGGAGCAGTCGGGTTCACTGAGAGTCAGATGGACAGCTGGAGATCTTCACCAAGGATGGTCGTGGAGGACCACCCTTGTCTGGGAGAAAACATTGAGGCTGGGTCCCTCTTGCTTTTTGCCCAGCAAGTTTGGCAACTGATGGGGCAGCAGACCCCGAAAGGTGTCTTCATGTGCATCCCTGGTCCCGCACCCAATGATAGATGGGGACGGATCACATGACAGCCTGCTGAGAACTCTACTCAGTGCCATTGACCACGGCCTTCAATATCTTTCAGTTCAATCAGAACTGAATTGAAATGGTCCCCCCTAGTCCTTCTTTGCTATTCTTGTTATGAGGACAGTCATTAACTGCAGCTAATCTAGAAGACCAACGACCAATGTTTTTTTTTCTTCACCCCCACAGCCTTTCCTCAAAAGTACATTTTGAGCAACAGGGTGGAAAGGGGTGAGAAAGGACGGTTCTTTTGAAGAATCCTGGCTCCCTCTACTGTAACAAGTTTGTTAAAGGTGCATCTCTGCAAAATGGGCCACTTGCAAATAACAGAGGAGTATTACTTATTATTACTACAGTCCTCGACTTTCAACCGTTCATTGTTACGACGACCCTGGAAAAAGTGACTTCTGACCGATTTTCACATTTATGATCACTGCAGGATCCCCATGATTACTTGATTTACATTGGGATGCTTGACAACTGGTTCCTATTTATGACAGTAGCTGTGTCCCAAGGTCGTTTGCAACCTTCTGATAAGCAAAGTCTATGGGTAAACCAGATTCACTTCACAACCATCAATCCTGGCTATTTAACATTCTAACTCTGTTCCTTTCTCGTGTCCTGTGTGTTCTCCAGGTGTCTTCTTTTAAAAACACTAGTGGAAAAACCTTACGCTAAACTGAAAAATACATTCAACAACTCTCTAGAATTACTCAACCCCAAAAGTGGTGCAAATTGTGCATTAGTAAACCCAGCCATCTTCCTTGAAGCCCTAACGGTGGTGGAGCAGGAATTACGGCATGGGTAAATATTAACTAACAAAAAATCCCTGGCACACTTATTTTAGCCTTCAAAACAGATTTGCCCAGAAGGAAGAAAAAAACAAAGACAGGCAGGCACATGAAAATAAAATACGGTCCTCCTGATGCAAACAAATAATGGAAATAGGCTGACGTGGCCCTAGTGGGAGCAGGGAAGCTTTGCACAATGTTGAACAACATACATGCCAATTAGCTGAATTTAGGCTGGGAAATTACATAAGGGGTATCGACGTTTTAATTGAACGGTGGAAAAAAACCAGCATTTTGTCAAGGGTGGGCGAGAGGAAACAAACCCATAAAACTTTCAAACTGCTGATGCCGGCTTCCCCCAATCTGTCACTTTCCAGATAAGCCAGAAAAACAGCTCACCAAATTTCCAGGCCGTTGAATGTTGAGTAAATCTGAGCAGCACCAGGCTGACTGCATCTTGAGCATAATCCATGGGTGTCTCACCTGAAAGATAAACGCGTTAATGTCTCGTCTGTCCCTTTGGGAAAATTAACAGTCCTTTTCAGTCTTCTCCAGGGAAAACCGTGTAAACCAAATGTGCTTAAACTTGATTAGGTAATCCCTCCTAATCCTTTCAACGCAGATTTAGAAAAGCGGGTTTACCGCATCCAGAAAGGCTTCTTAAGATCTTCTGCGTAGACTGCTTGGCATGTTATCTGCAGATGCTGGGGCCTGTAGATCAGCTTTATTGACCAAGCGAGGTGCGCGTAGTAAGCAACAACAAGGGTTAGTTACAAGCTCGTAAGTTTCCAGAATCGATCGCCGTTACATCCTCGGTTATAACTGATGGATGTTCAGAAACTCCACTTGTTTTCTTGAAATCTGGCATGGGCAATCTGCAGCCTTACGAAGAATTTTGCCAGAGACCCCACCCCACCCATTACTGTGGGGGTTTGGGGTGGGGACAGAGGTCACATATAACCCAGCTCCAATGAGCTTAACATATGAATTCAACCAACGAGCATAGAAGACCATTAAAATAACCCATGCTTTAGTGCAAGCTTGTACAAGGAACCCTCAAATGTACGGGCACAGTCGGGCCTAGAATTTCTATTGCAAAGCAAGGTGGTTGTTAAATAAGTTGCACCTGAATTTATGACCTTTCTGCCCTGGTTGTTAAGCAAATCGCTGCAGTTGTTAAATACATCATCTGGTCTTCAAGCGAATCCAGTTCCTTCCATTAACTTTATCAGAAGCTGGCTGGAAAGATCGCAAAAAGGGATCACGCGAACCTAGGACACTGCAACTGTCATAAATACATGCCAGTTGCCAAGTGCCCAAATGTTGATCATGTGATGTGGGGATGCTGCAACGGTCCTAGGGGGAGCACTGGTCATAAGGCACTTTTTTCAGGGCTATTGTAACTTTGCAAGGTTGCTAAACAAATCGTTGGAAGTCAAGGATACATTTAGTGATGCAGACCAGCCTGTTCCAGAATCAGTCAGAAAAGTGAGACAAACCATTAATGTTAAATGCCTTTAATCATATGGCCACTTATTTCCGTTAGCCCTTTAAATGTTTCAATTAGTGAAACCCAGGAGTTTTTTTAAATTTTAATTTTCTTCTTGTCCCGAAAAAAGAACGACAGGATTATATATATATATATATATATATTCCCTGCAGTCATTTCCCAAACTGCTGCAGTTTCATATCGCCTGATGTGATTTATCTTCTCTTTCTGCCCTCCCCCTCTCTAGCCGGGCTATGAAATCACATGAAATGTGGTCTGTCATACGGCTAAGCATATTTTGAGCCATCTTTTTCTTATTATATTAATATTGATCAGAGGTCTTCTCCTTCTGCTTTTGAAAAATGCACACTTCAAAAAGAAGAAAGGAAAGATGGAGAGTTTGATTGGCCCGGCTATAATAAGAACACAATGATCCAAAACGTGTTAACTTTGCAGAACAGACTTTACTTTCCCCCCAAATGGTCCCTTCTGCAAATGGAACAAAACAGGGAACAGCTCAATGGCCCCCAACTTGGCCTGTCTTTAAAAGGGGCCCATTCAGATGCATGCTGGTTAAGGTTCATGTTAGGCTTGTCTGGTTCCTTGTTCAAAAACCTCGTTAGCATTAACAGCAAAATACACCAGTATGAGGTCCAGTAGGGTTAAGCGAAGGAAACTGGGGCTGTTTTCCCCTTTGTGGGATCTCCACTAACTCTTCTTGAGGGCCTCTATTTTGGATCGGGAAGCTGAATTGGCAGAGGGATGCATCGAGGGAGAATTTAAGCAGAAATTTAGAAATTTGTGCTGGAATGAATTGCTGCTCTATTTGTTATCTCTGCTATCTTGGTTCTGTTCTGTTTTTCTATGGTTAACCATTAGTAAGCTGCCCCGAATTGCTGGTACAGACTGGCATATAAATAAAACAAAAGGGACTTTAACTTTGCCACACTAGGCAGCAACAGTTGGATTCACACGTTATCATGAGCCATTATGCATTTGGAGTTGGGTGACTGTGATCTGCTAGCCTGTTGTGATCGATGCATCATGGTTTCAGACTGAGCACAATGTAATTAAACACTGTCACACATTGTACTAATCAAACCACGGTCTTCTCCCCACTGCTAGCCAGAACAGGGGAACTCGAGTCAGAATTTGAGGGGTCTTTTGCACAAGACACATCTCCAGAATCAACCCAACCCCCCCCCCGCCCCTTAGGCTTTCAATCACTATTATCCAGGACACCCTTTAACCACAGTTTAGGCCAAAAACTCATTAAGGAGAATAGCACTGAAGCAGGAAAACGAAACCCCCCACAAGCAGGATTTTCTTGTGTTTACGACAGAAATGTTCTCGCAATGTTTTCTTCAGCCTGTGGTCTTGATGGAGATCTGGTGACATCTGGTGGCTGAGCTAGCAAAAGCCTCCAGAAGGATCGCTTTTCTCCGCAAAATATCGGGCGCAGCATAAACACCGGGAAGGAAGGACAGGCTGGTTTTTTTTTTCAATTTTGCCCGCATTTTTCAGTTTCTGAAGATATTGGCCCCCAGAGCATCAGATGGAGGAAGCCATAAAGAGGCATATGGGGCCATTGGTCGAGATGGGGGAGAGGGGGGGGAGGAGGACAAGGTTATTCCAAAATTTAAATGTCTGTATGGGGTCGCCAAAAGACGAACACGACTTGATGGCATCCAGTGCAAGGAGGGAAAGACCTCTACGAGGGCAACAGGGCAGGCAAGGGATGTTTAGAAGTCATCTTCTACTTATGGGAGGCAGAAGACTTTGCAACGTTTTGCACTAAAACTCCGCGCATCGGGCAGGGGAACTGGCGTTCACACGACTTGTTGACCCGAATGTTGGAACTCCGGTTTCTGATGACTGCCAAAAGAAGCCAGAATCCAGGACCCTGGAGAGGTAGCTTCTAGTTGGAAACCGCGACCCCCGATTAGATGCGCTGGACTCCAAATCCCATAAGAGCGACGTTGGCTGGGGACGATGGGAGAAGCACCCACTCTTTCCCCATTCATAACCTTCTTCCCCGGATGACGTCACGGGCCCCTTCCCCTCACGCCCAATCAGCGCCCCCGCTCCGCCCTGGCCCTGGGAAAACCCCGCCCCGTCGCTCTCGCGTGCGGGGGCGAGCTTTCCTCCCGCCCCTCGCCGCTCATTGGTCCCCGGGCGCCTCGGGCCCGCCCCCTCCGCGGGCCTCTCCCCGCCTGCCCGCCGCGCCCGGCCAATCGGCGCCCGCGTCGGAGCGCGAGCGCCGCCTGGCCTCACCCGAGGCGGCGGCGTCGCGGCCCCGCCCCTTCGGGTGGGCGTGAGGGCGAGGACGGAGGGAAGGTCGCGCGGCGGCTGAGGCGGCTGAGGCGGCGCCTTTCCCGCCCGGGCCTGTCTGAGGGGCCGCCGCCGCCGCCGCCTCCTCCTCCATGGCCGGGGTGGTGCGCTCCCTGGGCCGCTGCCTCTGGCCGGCGGCGGGCGGCGACCCCGAGGCGGCGGCCGGGCCGATGGAGCCGGGCAAGGAAGGCGGCCTTCTCCCTCCCGCTGTTCCTCCTCCTCCTTCTTCCTCCTCCTCGCTCCGCCGTCGGGAGCTGGAGCGTGAGGCGCGGCGCCGGAGCCGCGAGATCGACGCGCTGCTAGCCCGCGAGCGCCGCGCCGTGCGCCGCCTGGTGCGGATCCTGCTGCTGGGCGCCGGCGAGAGCGGCAAGTCGACCTTCCTGAAGCAGATGCGCATCATCCACGGGCGCGAGTTCGACCAGAAGGCGCTGCTCGAGTTCCGCGCCACCATCTACGAGAACGTCCTCAAGGTGGGCTCGCCGCGTGGCCTCCTTTCCCCTGGCTCGCCTGGCCACGCCCCCTCTTCTCCCCCCCTCCCCGCAGGGTGGTATGGGGTCTCCTGCTCGACCAGGAGGGTCGGGCTAGAGGATCTCTGAGGCCTCCTCGCCTCTGTGGTTTTATGCCCTGTCATCTGCCCCGCCTTCTTCCTCCAAGGAGGGTCCTTCCAACTCCCCTTGCAAGATGTCCTGGTGGTCACCTGTCCCCATGTTCATTGGATAGGCTGCCCTCCCTTAGGAAGAGAGATTCCCCCCCACACACACACTGATGCTCCCTTGAGAGCCCCCTTGATGTACTGAGTTCCAGTCCTGCCATGGGATCGGAAGCCAATGGGGTGATTAGGGAGCGTCCCCTCTCCCTCCGCCAAACCCACCTGGCAGGGTGATGGTCTACCATGGCTTTCTTAACTTTTTTTTTCAACTTTGCAAGATTTCCTAGTGGTCTCATATCCCCCCTGTTAAGTAGAGTCCTTCAGGTTGAAGAGGGTTTGCCCCTCCCCTTGGAAAGAGGCATTTTTTCCCCTACAAGTACCCCCTTGAGAGGCAGCTTGGTGTACTGGTTAACTGGCAAGACTAGAAACCAAGAGGCCCTAAGTTCCAGTCCTGCTTTGGGCATGGAAGCCAGCAGGGGATTAGGGCCCTGGCCTTTCCCTTAGCTCAACCCACCTGGCAGGGTGATGATCTGCTGCTGCTTTCTTCATATTTTTCCCCAACTTTGTGTGCAAGATTTCCTGGTGCTCTCCTGTCCACCTCTTAAGTAGAGGTGTCATGTCCAAGGTTGGGTAGAGCACTCCCATATCCCAGGATGCATTTTCCCCAGCATCCACCCCCTGTGTAACAGCTAAGCAGGTGGGCTTGAACCCTGAGTTCTAGTCCTCCTGAGACCGTGAAACCAGACAGGTGATTTGGCATCCATCTATCTTTCTTGGCCCAGCCCACCTTACAGGATTGTTGTGCTGAAAATATACATAGACTGCATTTGTATTACATACTAGTTAAAATTTAATTTGCAGCATCCCTTGGCTTGATTCAGAAAACCGCAAGTAAATGATCCAGGAGTTATCAATGTGTATGGACGCAGCCATGTTTTTATTAAAATTCCTGGAGGAAAATAATTTATTGGAGGGCGTTACAACATTCCTTCAGAGTTCTGAGTTCAGAATACAGCTAATTCCACGTGTGCCAAAGTTATTTCTTAGTATGCACAGTGCCATAAAAAGGGAGCCCAGCCGGATATACAGTACACACCCTGCTAACTGCATAGACTTGTCTTCAGAGATGGCTTTCCAGCCTGAGGGGTAAAAAACCTGTTCTAAACTTTAGGAATCCAGACTTTTCCTTTTGCAAACCCATCCTAGGGTATTGGACTAAGCCACTGTTTTTTCCTAAGGAGGTGGAAAAAAAAAATATTTGTTGTGTGGAAGGTTTTGCTGGACTTTTTCTTGTATCTTAAAAGTTGCTCTAAGGGGAAACTTACAGAAGTTTGTCTCGCCACAAGCTCGGCAGTCTACAGGTTTTGCTTTCTTCACCCCAGTAGCATTGCTGTGTTGGTGGTACAGTACTTACCCACAACAAATGGGAATTTTATCTTTAAGAAAACCACATCCCGGCTTAATAATAAGGATGGAATTTGGCTCTCAAAGTTGTCTAAAATATCTTGGAATGTAGAGCAGGGGAGAGCTGGCCAAATAAAGTGCATGTGGTTCTATTAGCGTGTTAAAGATTGAGCATAGATGGGCAGCATAAGAACTGAAGTGTATTTCTCTGTTTCTTAGGGCTGCAGAGTTCTAGTCGATGCACGGGACAAACTCGGCATTCCTTGGCAATACGCGGAAAATGAGAAACATGCCATGTTCCTAATGGCCTTTGAAAATAAAGCAGGCATGTTCGTTGAACCCTCCATGTTTCAGCTGTACGTACCAGCTCTGACCGGCCTGTGGAAGGATTCTGGGATCAAGGAAGCTTTCAGCCGTCGAAGTGAATATCAACTGGTGAGTAAACTGAAAGCTCAGAAGACAAAACATCTGGTCCCGGTACCTGACCCAGATTGGGTCCTGCAGCTTCATCCTGGGACACATTAGCTTTCATTCATAGGAGTTATTAGTCTGAAAATGTGCTGCTAGGCCCTTCCGGGTTTAAGGATTACCCTATAACTTCTGAAAGCTGCTGCTGAAAGCTTTGAGAAAACCAGGAATGGCTGCCTACCGATAAAATTGCTTCTTAAGTAAGAAATGTGGGAATTTCCACAAGGACTTTGAACTGGATCTGAACTTTGTTTTAACCGAGAAATAAATGCAAGGTGGTGAACTTATCTAACACGCCTTCCTCTTCCTATTTTCCCCACAACCCTGTAAGGGGTTTGGGCTGAGACTGGCTCCAAGTTACCCAGCCAGCTTTCATTCCTAAGGGTGCGACTAGAAGTCAGTATTTCCTGGTAATTAGCACCAAAGTCACCCAGTTGGTTTTCATGCCCAAGAGGTACCAGAACTCACCGTCTCCTGGTGACTGGCACCAGGGTTCACCCAGCTGGCTTTCATGCCTAAGGCAGGACTAGAACTCACCGATCCCCGGTGATTGGCCCAAAGTCACCCAGCTGGATTTCGCGTCTAAGGCAGAACTAGAACTCACCATCTCCTGGTTTATAGCCTGGTGTCTTAGACTGGCTCTAAAACTTTCTAAAGGATGCGGGGCTTGCATCATAGTTTGAACAGTCTTGAGGAGTATTTTCCTGCTGCAAGGGCTGTACCACAAAACAGCCTAGCCTTCAAACCTATGAACAGATCGCTGTCCTAGGGCCAGAATCCTCATTACCTGCTGGAGAAATGTAAGCATGAAATGTAATCAAGATCCTAAAGAAGCTCAGTTTAATCCTCAATCAGTTTGTAAACAATCCAATGACTTGAGGCTTTGTGAAATCCATCAATTTAAGCTCAGCTAATTTTCATAGCCGTGCCTTTTGGCAGCAGTACAGCTGTGCTGGCCTGCTTCATCCTTCCAGATGTTTTTCCATTTCCCTCTTTGGCTTACTTCTGTGTTGTCACAGGATATGAGGTTCCATTAAAGAACCTGCCCCCCCCCTCCCAAAAAATTTCTATAGATCAGCGGTTAAATCACCTGCTTACCGTCTAACCCAGGGGTAGGCAACCTTGGCTCTTTTATGACTCGTGGACTTCACATCCCAGGAGCCAAGGTTGCCTACCCCTGGTCTAACCCTAACTGCAAATTAAAAAGCCTAAAAATTACTTAAAATATGGAAGATCACTTATTTGAGTAAAGTATACCAAAATCCAGGAGGTGGTACGGAGTATTGCTTCGGGGCAGATAAACTATGGTTAACCTTTTATGTAATAGAGGCAAAATCTGAGGTTCTTTGTAATTAAATATCCTGGGTTTTTGCTGTTATCTTGAGGGGTGACCACTAACATTTAAGGAACAGTCCAGTATAGAGAACTAAGTGGAAATTCACAACTTTTTTTTTGTAGTTTGAATTTGCGTTTCTTTTGCTAACCGTGTGCCATGTAATATCAATGTGTCAGCATCTTATTCGGAGATATATGGCTTAGCTAAAACTCACACTAGGACCTTATTTTGAAAAACAATTCTTTTATCATAGTTCTGTGTTACCCGTGGCCTAAAAACACCCCTTGTTCTCTTAACTTCAGTTTGTCCCAGTTGGTTTCCATTACTTCCCACTGAGTCTCTTAGGTCTTGTCCATAAATGGCCAATTGTCAGGACACGATGGTGCTGTGTTTGAACTATGTGGCGTTGGCTTGTTGGTTTATTTTATTTGTTTTGTTTTATTGAATATGATTGTGAGTTGTCTAGGATGATCTTCTATAACAGTGATTCTCAACCTGTGGGTCGGGACCCCATTTGGGGTCGAATGACCATTTCACAGGGGTCGCCAAACAAGGCTGTCCACCATTTTTCCCCCTTTTCTTTGGCCATGCCCCTGGCACCCGGTGATGTATAAGTGGTTGGGGGTCACCACAACATGGAGAAATGTATTATGGGGTCGCGGCATTAGAAAGGTTGAGAACCACTGTTCTATAAGATAGATGGCCATGTAAAATATGGTAGTCTGGGGTGTGTTTGACACACTTGGCAGAGATAACACTGAGCATTTGAACTCAGAATCATCTTTCAAAAGGTGTGTGTGGGCATCCATTCAGAAAGCATGGAGCCTGTGCAGTGATAATTCTAATTTTAGGTTATAGTGAGACCTGTACTATTTATAGCCATACCGTGGCCAGAAACTGCTCATTCAGAACTATATGTCACTACATTTGTGGGACTTATGATTTTGCTCTGGTATAAGTCATGTAGCCTAGCTATCTGGGCAGCTGGTATGCACTAAAAAGATATTTATTTTCACTACTTGACACCCTAGTTAGTACTTTTGTTTCTTAATGCAGTCCTTGACTTATGACCACAATGGAGCCCAAAATTTATGTTGCTAAGCAAGACATTTGTTAAGTGAGTTTTGCCCCATGTTATGACCTTTCTTGACACAATTGTTAAGGAAATCACTGCAGTTGTTAAATTAGCAACACAGTTGTTAAGTGAATCCAGTTTCTCCATTGATTTTGTTTGTCAGAAGGTCACAAAAGGGGATCACATGACCGCGGGACCCTACAACCATCATAAATATGAGTCAGTTGCCAAACATCCAAATTTTGATCACATGACCGTGGGGATATTGGAACGGTCGTTAAGTATGAATACCGGTCATAAGTCACTTTTTCTCTGTGCTGTTTTAACTTCAAATGGTCACTAAATGAGCTGTTATAAATTGAGGACTACCTGTCCTCTCCTGCTAAAAGGGAGTGGCCTTTTATAACCACCTTATTAAATCAGTATAATTTTATTGAGCATGTGAACCGCCTGAATTTTTGTACTTTATAACTGTAAATTGGACAAGCGTTCTTTTTAAGATGAAAGCGAGAAGAAGCTCCACAGTATCGGTCCGAAATAAACAAGATAAAAAGTTGGAACGATGTTCAGATGTGGGAGCTGGCTTATTTCAGGGCTGTAGTTCCCAGTTCTGGGTTTTCTAATTCCCAGATGTGGGATGATTCATGGCTGCTGTTCAACGATGGGGACAGCACCTCCTCCTACGTTGTCCCAATTGGCCAGACTGACTCAGAGGATACACAAGAAGAGAGATATAAAGTGAAAATGAATCATCTATATTTTTATGTTAACTCTTTAGATGTAAAAAAATATAAGCAATGATCTGAGTATTATCTAACATATAGGGAAGCAAAGTTGCAGAGCTGTTTAATTGTTTCAGGTCAAATTGTGGGGGTGTTAAATGGCTAGACTTGAACAAATATTATTTCCTTTGTTGTTATTTGCTTATAACAAAAACATGTTTTTCTCCAGCAACCCAAGGACAACAGAGAGGTTGTTAATGATCTGAAGACATTGTTGGTGTGATGGAAGACTTAAGAATTGCCCGGAATTTTGCTTAATCCTAGTCAAATCAGATAAGAGCACTAGAACTAGATCAGGTTGGATTAAATCGTTCCCATTTAAGATCTGACATGTAAAAATGGTGGTTTAATCGTGCTGAAGTTTTGGATTTTATTTAGGAGTTATGATTGTTTGTAGATCTGATGGTTTTGTATACTACCAGTATATAGTAAGTGCCACAAATGCTGACTGGCATTAACTCTTGTTGATGAACAGAAGAAACAGAAAGACAAAGAAACCCTCCAATAATACAGCTAGAAAAAAATTGCTACGAGGGACATTCACAAACAGCTACAGCTGAAATTGGAATATATTTTACCTGCTTGAGAAATACAAGAACGGAGGGACCATACGTAGCTTTAAGGTCCAAGATTTGTGAACTTCAACTCCCAGAATTCCCCAAGCAACTATGCTCTAAGCCTAGGGAACAGTATTCCTTCTGTGGAGATAACCTGAAAACAGTCTGGGATCTTCAAGTGTGTGCTTTACTGGAAACCATATGAAGGTTGCTTTATCTTGTAAGCAATCAGGGTAAACAGAGAGCAGTTGACTTCTGTATTGTGTTTTTCACTTTATAAGAAAAAAAAATTCCTGCTTAGGTTTTGAGGAAACAAATGAAAGAGCCATTGTATTATAACACAAGAATCTATGGCCTATCCTAAGGGCAATAAAGACAAAGCTATTTTATTTTACAGCCTGCTATGGAAATTCTCTTCCCCAAAGTGGTGTACACAGCTCTAGCTTGGCTTACCGACTGTTCCATAAAGGGATCATTACGAGGCAGAGCCAAGCAGTGTAAATAGATTTCCAAAGGTTGATTTTCCAGATCAGAGCTCTGGTTCTGAGGCAATATAGCCAGTTCTGTGACGATGCACTTGTGCTGTAGTTTAAACAAAGGTCTTCTGCTTTGCAAAAACAGCTCCTTGATTGTCTTATAGTTGGATGATTCTAAAACTCTCTTAAGGCTGATTTAAGTTGACCCCAAAACTTCAATTGGTACAGAACGCAGCAGCTTGCACACTGGCAGATGAGAAGCATTTCAGCAGAGGATATTTTGGGCTCTGTCGGTTGCCAGTATCTTTCCAAGTACAATTCAAGGGGTATTAAAATCCTGATGTGGTGAAAACTTGGCTTTTTCAGAGGAATATTGTGCACTAAGTCTTCAGTGTGTTTTAACCATGAGATGTTTTAATCTAAATATAACTCTCTGAGCTGTTCAGAGTTTGTTGAAGTAGGCAGGATGTAAACCATAAGTAAATATACTCTTCTTCTCTTTCTCAACAGGGTGAATCAGTAAAATATTTCCTGGATAATCTGGATCGGATTGGCCAGTTGGTGAGATTTTCTGTTTGTGTTGTTTAGTTCTCATACATTCAAATCATATAAATAAGAGAAGTAATAACATTGGGAAATGTTCCTCAAAATCATAGAACTGAACGTTTGAACGTCTAGATTTAGTAAATAATCTCTCTTCTAAAGCAGAATAATCATTTCTTATATGTGGGAGCTCTTATTCTTCCTCTGGGGAAAAAGTATGTTTTGTGCCCACTGTTTAAAAAAAACCAAGGCATGAATACATCCATTGTTCAAACAAACTCCCTGTAGTAGCAGTGAGATTTTGCCAATCTCAGCATCAACGAAATCTAGTTTATCAGGAGCTCTGGATTTTATTGCATCTGTTGAAACTGCGGCATGTAACTTCAGAGGTTACGGAAACCAGGCTGCAAAGGTTTGTAAACTATTGAAATTCATCCTTCAGATTAAGTTTGCTAACCGCCACCTCAAGCAACCAAATACAAAATAATGAAAATAACCTGAGATAAAGTGAGCTGTTTCCACAACCCCAACCTTGGCATCTGAACAGCCCACGCAAGATTAGCCTCTAGTTTACCCTTCCCCATTTCAGTTCCAGAATCTTCCTTCCACCACAGTATATCTAGACACTACTTCGGTGGACTTAACTTCCCTTTTGAAGCGTGATCTTTCTCCTACTTCCTGTATCTTTTTTTTTTTCCTGCAGAATTATTTCCCCAGTAAACAAGACATCTTACTGGCTAGAAAAGCGACCAAAGGAATCGTGGAGCATGACTTCATCATTAAAAAGATCCCTTTCAAAATGGTGGACGTGGGTGGACAGAGGTCTCAGCGCCAAAAGTGGTTCCAATGTTTTGATGGCATAACCTCTATACTGTTTATGGTCTCCTCCAGTGAATACGACCAAGTGCTCATGGAAGACCGGCGCACAAACAGACTAGTGGAGTCCATGAACATCTTTGAGACCATTGTCAACAACAAGCTCTTCTTCAACGTCTCCATCATTCTGTTTCTGAACAAAATGGACCTCCTGGTGGAGAAGGTCAAGACGGTCAGCATCAAGAAATATTTCTCAGACTTCAGAGGTGATCCTCACCGTCTGGAAGACGTCCAGCGCTATCTGGTACAATGCTTTGACCGGAAGAGGCGGAATCGCAGTAAGCCCCTTTTCCATCACTTCACAACCGCCATCGACACCGAGAACATCCGCTTTGTTTTCCACGCGGTGAAGGACACCATCCTTCAGGAGAACCTTAAGGATATAATGTTGCAGTGAGTGAAAAGGGAATTCTCTCTCTGGAAACCTAGCCCGTTGTAGGCCCTTTGCTATGTGTCTTTTCTTGCAAGAGCCATGCTGTGCCTTGAGTTAGGAAAGCTGAGCAGGAGAAGCAGAAGTAGAAGAATGGCAGAAGTTTATGTGAGCTCCTGCATCGGTCAACTCAAAACACAAGGATACGATGTTTCCTCTTGGCTTTTGGAAACCCTCGTGGCGAAATGGCAACCAAGGTGTCTGCGTGAATTAATCTTATTCTACGACAATGCCAGAATGTTCTGGCTTCCATACCTGTCAGCCTTAAACTAGTTTTGGGTGCTGAAATAATGAATTCAGTAACATAGTTCACTTCTTCACTGGGGGTTCTTTTTAAGAGAATACATTGCAATACATTGTTATAATTCAAAGATTAATATAGGAGCCAGGGTATATACAAGAGGTTCGCCAACATTTGGATTGTATTTGCAACTGGTTGTCTTAGCTCTAGCTTAAGGAATCTGTCTTCATCTTTCCTCGTGTAGAAATCCAGAGTTGAAAACTGAATTTAGACAGTCATACGAGCAAAACATTTTTTTATAGCAAGATATATCAAAGCTGGTTAGGTATCCAAAGCAGTTACTGCTTGATGAGACATAGCTTCAGCAATAGTAGTGAAAATACACGCCTAGTGCTTTGTTAAAACATCTTTGATTCTGTTTAAAATTAGATCTGTATAAAAAAAAAATCCCTCATTGCAACTGTTAGGCTGTTTCCTGTCTAACACAGAAGTTAATCCAATTTTTAGATAGGTCTTGGCAAGGAACAACTGCCCATAGCACTGTAGTGAATTGCTCTTTTAAAAAATCAGTCTTTTGGAGCCACTGAGTTTGGATTAATGGTCTTGCTTTGAGTTTATTCTTAATTATATAGGGGTTTACCAGTGTATGTCCTAATGCATTTTTTAAAAATCCACATAAACCTGACACGTGTAATTCGCCCCTTTAAGGCTAGAATACAGTATGTGTGAATTTGCAGAAGGCTGTGAATTGATGTGAGCTTGTTTTTTTCATTCTAAAATGTTATATTTAACTATGGGTGCCTTTCTTTTGTGTACAGACAGTTCACGCTTTTGTCTACTCTTGAGGTATGTATTAATCAACCTTTTGTCTTGCCTTATCCATCCTACAATCATTATTCAGGGATAATCTTAAACTTAAATGTTTACTGTGACTTTGGTATCATATTTTGTAATAAAACGAAGGGCTTCGTCTTTCCTATATCAACTTCTCTGAATTGTCCTTTGGGGACAATCAGATGCAAGGCAATTTCCTAGGCGCTGATAGCACAAATAATAACCAGTTTAAAAATCTTTTCTGACTTCCAGTTAGGGGAATTCTTGAGAGTTTTTCCCCCCTGCGGTTGGATTACTTACACAGCCGTGTTTTCGGTGTGGTGTGCCACATTCTAAAGGCCACGCTTTACATTTTGATAGTATATTTTGTGCAAAGTTGAGCTGTTTCTGAGATGAGGGCTACATTGGTTTCCAGGTCTTAAGTAAAAGTAAGACAGACTTAACCATTAAAAGCCACAGAGTTCAGCTTTGGAGGCAGTTTCTTTTAAGAGCTTACCTATGAACACACCTGGAAGCAGTTAACATCTGGAATCCGTTATTTTACCATTTTTAAATAAGATGTTGCCTTTTGCCAAGAATCTGAGTTTTGTCAGTGGAAAACGGCTGTCTGGTGACAAGGGGAAAGGCATCTTAAGCTTGATGGTCAGTTGGGCCTTATTTTATCATTAGAGCTAATGCTATATTTATCCTTTAGAAACCCTAAACTGGCCCAGGGACTTCTGATACATTTCTTGAAGATTAGTCTTGCTATGGGGAAGGGCCCAAACTCTATGAAATTCAGAAACATCATAATGGCACATATGTACATATTTGAATTCATTTCTTTGCCAGTGGTTTCTGTGTAGCTGAAATTTGGTGTGTCCGGTAACATGACTTCTAACACTTTCTCTCCAGTAGTAGCACAAACCACTTTACAAATACTTAAAACCTAAATTATGCTACCAGTCGCCTTTTAAAGTGGTTTTGAAAGAACAAGGTGCTAATATACTGTATTTATCAAAACTTAATTTTATTCTTTTTTCTGTTGTAGAAGCATGTCTTGCTGAATGTAATATACAGCTCTATGTTTCTTTGATACCAAATAACAAGTATCTTGTGGTATAACAGGGCTCCGTACTGAGGGAAATAAATGTGGTGATTATCACAGGTTTTGATAGCCAGATAAATCTTTAATTGTCTAATCCACCCAGTGGGTCGTGCAGTCGATTTCTATTGCTTTTAGGACGTGATTAATATTTTTATTCCTTTACCCTACCATTGTACGCTTATTCTAATCATCTTCTTTAGGACTGTAATTGATATTTAATATCTAAACTCATTTTTGTGGTTGCCACATTCATTGTATATCAGTCAGTCTTGGGTAGATACATTTAACAGTAAAAGCCAGCTCTAATTCTGCTTCCTAGTCAGTCCTAAAATATATATATATATATATTGTATAGCACTTGCATATATAACATAAGTACATCCTCTAATCATGTTTGACCATAGTCACTTTTCCTGTACATTGTTAGGATTAACAATCTTTTTTTTTTCTCAATCCAGTGCAGAACTATTACGTGTTCTTTAGCCCGGGGTCCCCAATCTTTGCGGTTTGGTGGCCCAGCTGGGGGGGGAGAGGGGAACCGGGCCAGGTGACCGGCAGGCCGGCATACGTGTGCAGCTCAACATGTGTGCAAGTTGAGCTGCACACACAAATTGATCTGCGTGTTCACGTGCACACGTGCTAGCTCGCACAAAAGCTGTGTGCCTGCATGCATGCCAGCCCACCGCCCGCATGACCCAGTAGCAAATAAGTCACAGCCTGATAGCAGGTCACAAGGGGAGGGGGGTTGGGAACCTCTGTTTTAGCCATCTAAGCACTGCTTCTATTTTTTTTTTTCCCCTGACCAAGCCACAATGCTTTTCAATCCAATTGCCTTCGTTCCAGCCCAATGCCCAGATTGTTCTCTTCCAGGCACACTTGGATAAAGGAAGGTGGGGAGGGGAAAGCAAATTTGCAGACAGAGCATTTGATTGTAACGGTCCCGACCAGCCAGGAAGTGGGTCGTACACAGGACAATCGTCTTTGAATTTATACTCCGTATGTTTTGCACCAGTGAGTTGCACAGTTTGTCCTTTGTCCAAAGAAGCCTCTGTAAGGCGTATAATTCTGTGTACTTAGTCATCTTGGCCAGGAACCAAGAGGAAATTCGGTGTCTGTCAGCCCACATGTAGACACATCCACATCAAGACGATTTTGCATGAGAATTGTTTTCGTGTAAGCTCGGCAGAAGAATGGTTTTGGAAAACATGAGAAGGTTGGGTTGTGGTTTTTGTTTTTTGTTTATTTTTAATCTCACGAAACGGAAGCTACAAGGAGGATGCTTCAGGTTTCGTATTTTATTATGTCAGCCAACCTCAAATTCATATAGTGACCATTCAGAGTTGCAGTGGCACTGAAAAAAGTGACTTAAAGACCGTTTTTTCACACTTATGACCATTGCAGTCTCCCCGAAATTCAGACCCTTGGCAACTTGACTCATATTAATGAACAGTCCCAGCATCCTGGGATCATGTGATCACCTTTCGCAACCATCTGACAACAGGGAAGCCAGAGTCACTTCACCAAGTTACTAACTTAACAACTGTGGCAAGAAAGGTCATAAAATGGGGCAAAACTCTCTTAACAAATGGCTCGCTTAGCAACAGGAATGTTGGGCTGAGTTGTGGCCGTAAGCCGAGGACTGCCTGTAGAAAGTTTCCAATTTAATAGAGAGCTTCTGAAATAAGGGAAGCAGGAATGCCATCTGAGGCAGTAGGAACAAATCTTAACCTCTTTCTCTGCTCTTGTAACGAAAATGTATTTCCCATCGAAAATGGTAACTGGGTGAAGTGCCCTCAGATGCTGTTTTGATGTTTTATCAGTGGGGTCATTTTTTTCCCAAATTAAAGAAACTTCCAACCACAGGCTGAACGGTTAGCTAAGGCTTGGCTCGTTGCCCGTACTGTGCTGCAACTCGCTTGGAAATTGTTGCAGTCCAGTTTAAACACACACACACACACACACACACACACACACACAGTGACCTCCTGGAGATAAGCCAAAAATTGTTTGGAAATGTGGAGGAGGAGTAGACCTGGTTTCCAAATTAAGTTTTTCCATGACTGTTTGCTTAAACATTGACAGCCTGTGTCTCCAGAAACAAAATGCCGTCAGCAAAGTCCTTGTTTTTTTGCTGACTATCTTTAGAGAAAGGGTTTGATGGCTTAAGACAATCTCTTGACATCTGGTAACTCCTAGGCTATTTTATTTTGCTGGCCTCTTTGTTGATAATGGGAACATTCAAACTTTCTCTTACGTAGTGTTAAAAGATCTTGGCTGTAGTGAAGGCCTATTAAACGTCCTGAAAGTTAATGCGGTGTATCTCTTTAGAAGCGCACGCTTAACCATCATGGCTCTCTGTACCTTAAAGCAGTATTTTACAACCTCAGTAAGTTTAAGAGGGGTGGACTTCAACTGCCAGAATTCCCTGGCCAACTTTTCACAAAGCTTCAGATTGTGAAACATTTATTAGATGGAAATTGTTTACTATCCCCAACTAATGGTACTATCACTATGATAGCAATTAATCAAAGGAATAGCTTGTCTCTTGGAGTGGTGGATGCTCTATCACTGGAGATTTTTGAAAATAGACAATCATTTGACTGGGATGGTATAAGATCTGCCTTAAGTGGCGGGTTAGACTAGAAGACCTCCTAAGTCCTTTCCATTGACCTCTTGGACAGTCCTATCAACCTCTGAGGTCCCATTTGGAGAAACCTGGACCAACGAAAGACTTCCCTGAGTCTTCAAGCTCAAACAGCATCCTTTGCAGCATTCTGCATCTTATGAACTTGTATGAATAGTTGGGGGTAGGACAGGCGTGGGTTCAAGCTTTAATTTCCCAAGTTCAACAGAGTCCAAATTTTGTCATCAAGCCAAAATGGATGTGCCGTAAATGCTGTCGCTATGTGGCATTGTCTGTGCTTTTCAATTGTTCTATTTTATACACGTTGAAAAGGGAATCTGTGATCTTTGTGGCCTCTTTTTTACAGCGATATTGTCTTTTCCTGAAAATGTGCTATTAAAATACCGTGGTGTAAAAATGTACGGCTTCGTTTTGGATTGGCTGTTTTGTACATACCAATTTTGTAAATGCATTAAAAACGTGATTAGTTATTACTGTGCTTTAGACTCTGCCAAACAATTTTAATTCTGCTGGGGAGCAGCAGTTGCAGTGGATGGGACAGCAACTAGTGGTCTTAGAAATGCACAGACTGCAGATTTTATTTAATATAGCCATGATCACAATTAGGTCAACATCATCGGTGCAAAACCCACCCCCTTGTGGCACTGATGATGTTACCTAGCTGGGTCTTGAAACGCCTACAAGAAAACAACCAAGCTCAGAGAGCACCAAGAAAGAAAAACCTTGAATAATTCTAAATTGGCTGAGCAGGATTTGTATTCTTCCTTTTGCCTAGAGCACACCCATAGCAATTAATACTAAAAAAAAAAAAAGGAATAGAGATTGTGAAATAAATGCCAGCATTTTTATTCCGTCTCCCTTTCTGAGCGCATCGCAGCCATCTGTTTGCAAAATGAACGTGAGTTTTATATGCAGCGAAATGTGTAAATCTGTCTATTAATGGGTTGAGCAGATGGGGGAGATTTTGAGGATCACCTTCCTTCCTTTCCCCTTATTTAACTGGGGTTGTAATAAAAAGAAGAAGGCTTGGTGAAGTGTTTTACTGCTGGGTTCCCCAACCAGGGCACTTTCTAGAGGGGTGGATTTCAACTCCCAGAATTCCCTAGCAGTAGGGCCATTGATGAGAATTCTGGGTGCCGAAGGCCGTACGGCTGGAATTGGCCAAGCTTGCCAAACATTGGTCTGCTGCAGTGTTTCTCAGCCCTTGGGAAGTTTTAAGAGGTGTTGGACTTCAATACCCAGAATTCCCCAATCAGCACTTCGATCAAATGCTTCAGCATTAATAAAGCCTCTGCTCTTCTGATCGTTGATATTAGAGGAGAATAGAAGCCGGTGTCAATTCATTTGCGAGATAAGTAGCTGCTGGCTGTGCGACGAGTCGGGTCCGGTTCTTGCAATATAGAAGAATAAATGCATTTGGCTTCTCGTGCACAAGAGGGATTTTTTTTCCAGCCCTGTGTGCCAAATTAAACTAGGAGAAAGCAGGAGGCAAAACGCCTATGCAGGCGCCCCAACCCAGCAGCTGTTTTTGCAAAGAGATGCCAGAAAGATTCTCTTCCCTTGCAAAACCAAAACAAAAAAAGCCAGTTGCTATAGCAACCCCCCAGTCCTGCAAACCCTTTTGCTAGCTGATGGGGGAGATGCAAGCTTATTTTTGATCCGGCTTCTCTGTTCTTCACTAATTTATTTATTTTTTTAATCAAAGTATTTATTTGTAAAATACTCTTTCTCCCCTGCCTGCACTGATCCTCTGTGGCCCCTGGGGTTTTTCCAATGCTGGATCAGCTTGCCGGTTTTTTTCTGCTTTTAACATGCAAAGAAGAGTGTGTAACGTAATGTCTGTCACAGAAGCAATTAAAGCAATATTTAACCAACTGCGAGAGTAACCGTAGGGCTAAGGCAGCCTCAGCGCTTGCTTTTTCCTGAAAGATACATTGGGGTTGAAAGCATGGAGTCAAAATTGATGATTATATTTGTTCAAGTTAAGCTTATTCTTTTCAGATAATAGTTAGGCAGTGTGATACACCTTATGTATGTCTAAGTCTCATTGACTGCTATACAGTCTATTCTAGCAGCTGTGTATCTGGCTATTTTAATTAGGAAGTCTTTGGGTAGAAAAATCAAGATTGGTTTTAGATCAGCCTCTACAAAAGTGCTAACTCTACACTTCCTTGCACAGTCCTTAAAACAGGTTTCAAGTTTACAGTCTCTATTTTAATAAAGATCACTTGTGGGGAGAAGGGAAGCGAACCCCCTTTTCAGATCTGGAGTTCTAAAACTGATAAGTAAAATTAAAAGCTTTGTTGTGGGAGAAGAGAGAGAGAAATCTGCTTTTCAAACCAGATCTTTTGAGTCCCAACAATTAAACAAAAAGGCTTCATGAATGTTCCTAATAACGTCCCACTTTTCCCCAGACTCTCTCCTGTCCCACAAGGAAGTTCAGGCTAAGTGTGACATTTTCTTGATGACAAATCTGTTAGGAGGAATGATAACAGGTAGGAAAGAAAAATCTCATGCAACTGGCAGACGACAGCAGAATAATGAGTTTTCTCTACACTCCCTTTTTTGAGAGTGCTAAACAACGTGGATCTGGTTCCCCACCCGAATTTCCACTGTCAAAAATCGAGTATTACATAACTTGCAGGATGATTACATAAACATGCAAAGCTGTCTTCTGCAGAGCTGTTTGCATTTGTGTTTTCCATGGTAGCGAGTTTGCCACATTTGATAGGGATGTTGTCTTGACCTGCAAATCAAAATAATTTAAACGAGACTCACGGCTACGTCTAGGTTCCTACATTCTCCCTTTGTAGAAAAAAGAGAGCCTCTTTATCCCGCCACCCTTTCCAGGAACTAGGAAAGATAGGAACAGACTTATTTTATTGCACTTGGGAAATTCTTAATTCTCCAACAGAACAAAGGTGAAGTTGAAAAGACGAGGCATTAATCCAAGAAACGAGACTTCACCAAACCCACACCGAATCCATCATTTAAAAAGGGCTGCAAAACATCTCAAGGAGCTAACTGTCTTCCCATCTCCAGCGATGGGGAGAAGATTCCCCTCTGGCCAATTTTCTGGAGTTCAGTTTCCTTCTTAAGGAGGAGAATTTGTCTCCAAGAACTTTCCTCAGCCCAGGACTGTCATTGGGAAAATGGAAGTCTTTCCGCGTGTGGGGCAGCTGACCCGTGAACATCTCCCATCGTGCCAGAGCTTCCACACTCTTGTCTAGCTGCTGGATTTCCTCTTCCGACACGTCCTTTTCAAGAGCCGCAATGCACAGCTCCAACCACCGTTTGTATTCCTTGATCATGTCCAGGGGCTTCGGGGTGCCACTGCTGCTGCCACCTCCGCCCAGCTGTTCCTGGTCTGGAATGCCAGTCAATGAAGTTGACTGCTCGTCAAGATCAAGATCCTGCAAGGTGGAGGCCGCTTGGCTGTACGTGTCTGGGGTCAAGGGCTCCGAGAGGGAGGTGATGGCCTCGAAGTCGTTCTCACAACCCATCCCCGAGTCTGCGCTGGGTAGCCAAATGTCCTCCGTTACGGACAGCTCCGTAGAGTCTTGGCTGAGCCAGGTAGATGAAATCGTCTGCATCCAAGCGTAGAGTTTCTGCACCCCAAGTTGCCCCCCAAAACAAACAACACAAGGTGGATCTTTCTGCTGTGGTTCCATAACATTGTGCAAGCAAACACACATATATGTTTCTGAACAGCTGTCAAAGTAATTCTGAAACTCTCTGGACAGGCTAAGTTCCCACCAACTGAAAAAAATGAGATAATTGAATAGGAAGTCCCTGGCGTTCGTTCTATAAGACAGGAATTTCCAACTTGAAGCAACCCAGTTAACAGAGTTGGAAAGTATCTTTGGCTGGTAACTTAATCCACGCTTCTAATTTAAGGCAGAAACTTTGGATCTGCGCCCCAACGAAAACATGATGACTTGATACTTCAAAGGGTGAATCCACAACACAAACTCTGAACCGAGTTGCAGATAAGACTAATCCCATACATTTCTAAATGTTTCAGAGCCGGTATCCATTACGTGGGGCTACCCGAACCGCTTTGCTCACACCTGCCTGAACTATAAGCTATGACTACAAACCCTTCCTGCCCTCTTCCGCTCCCCAAATTCCTTTCCCCTCATGGGTGGCCAATTTAAACTGCAAGCAAACTATAAACAAACACTCTTGCTAGTTTCTCCAAAGCGTTCTCTCCACCCAAAAGTTGGTTCTACCAGTCTTGACCCAAGGCCAACTTTACTTGGAACAGAAAACAGATTGCAAGTACCCAGGCTGAGTCTTCTGACAAAAGCTCACTAGTTATGAGGACTCTCTGACTCCTGGGCTCCCTTGTTTCTGGGTCTCAGTTCTTCTGGGGACTTCTGGAGCTCCTCAACAAGGAGCTTGACTTTGCCTAGAGAAGAAGGACCATACCATCTCTTAACGGTTACTTACCTTGTAGCGCTCTATGAGCTTGAAACCCACGACGTACTGCAGCTTCCGAAGGCATATCGGGCAAGGTTCCAGTGGCCGCAGCATAATTTCATCCAAGCTGAGGGCTCCTTGCATGATGCACTGAAGCCAACGGCAGTTCCCCAAGCCGATCAGATGACAGATCTCATGGCACGTGACCTTTTGTAGGAAAAACTAGGAATCAATATTAAATTGAACAGGCAACTCTTTCCTGCCTGGGGTTCAATTCCCTTGTTTTTCATCCCGTTTCTATTCCAATTACTGATGATACTCTATTGAATGAAAAAGATAACATCCTTGCCAAACCTTCACATCCTTCCATTGGGGTGTTTGGAAGAGTGAATCCAACAGTACAGAAAAGAATGGAATTCTGGCCGTTAATATTGATTCGGAGTTGTGCAAATAAATCATCAAGGGGTGAGAAGGGACTGTAGAACAGGGGTGGACCACTATCAACTTTGTGATCTGTGGACTTCAACTAGCTCAGGAATTCTGGGAGTTGAAGTCTACAGGTCATAAAGTTGACCTAGCAGTTGCCAACCCCTGCTGCTCATGCGGCTATTGTCTTCTTGACCAAATCTGAACAACCTTGTATCATTGGCATTCTGAACACATTACATTGACCTTGGAGGATCCTTCTCAAAAAAAAAAAAAAAAAGTCCGTTGTCCCATCCAGTCCCACCTAAAAAGCTGCAAACCTCAAAAGGTTATATTCCAGCAGGCCACCCAGCTGAGATCTTTTCCACCAGAAGCAGGAGAAGTCTACAACAAAGCATCTCTCTTTACCATTTTTGAACTGAACCTGGACCTGTGTGCGCTCCTCACCTTGCAGCACTGAAGCATTTCCAACATGTTAAACAACAAGGTCTGCTTTCTGGCTAATTCCACCTCTTCGTTATGCACTTCCTGTCGGCGTGGAGATGGGTTTAAAGCCGTGCAACCCATCTGGGGGAAATCGCTGGAAAATCTGGCAAAGCTGCAGACGCCCACTTCTACGGAGAGAGGAAACCAGGGTGAAAAAGGTTGGTTGCATTTCCGCAGGTGTGTCATCTCCTGTATGCACAATCAAGGACACAGTCTGCCGGTGCTAGGATGAGCCATCTGTTTCAATGCTTTATCCTTGGACCCTTCTAAATCCATTTCTAGCACAATGGTACGTGTTACAGGATGAGCCACAAGTTAACTCCACACACAATGGAACGAAAGTGGATCACGGTGGATTAACGTTGGTTTCATTGATAAGATTTTCAGCTTTTACCCCTTCGAGGACATTTCAGCATACAGCCAAGGAATAAATAAACACAAACAAAGGAAGATGGCGTACCCCAAATTCCCCCCCTGAAACAAACACACAAGTGGATCTTTTTGTTGTGCTTCCATCTATAACATTGTACAAGCCATCACTTCTCTGCACCTTGTACAGCTTTGCACCAAATTTTCTTACATACTTACATACAAAAGCTCAGCACTTGTATTAAAAGTTTTTAGTTTGAAATTATCCTGGTGTTCGAATTTACTTATTTTTATTGCATGTATACACACACACACACACACACACACACACATCAGCTGCCTAACGTGCAAGCGGCCCAGGTTCAAATCTCAGAAGGATATGGCTAGCTGATGAGAGCTAAATAGCTCGAAATAGCTATACTAGTCTCTCTTTAATTCTTTGTCAGCAAAAATCTAAATTTAACAACCCAGAAGAAGACAAGACATCAAGCAAACCTTGGCCTGGCAAGAACTTGCCAAAGGTGAAGCTCCATGTCTCACACGGGTAGAGGTCAGCGAGGGTGAGGCCCAGGACACAGAGAGCGTCCATTGGCTTGTTGTTCTTCAGAAAGCTCAAGATGCCATCTAAAGGGGCAGGAAAGACAGGGTGGAATTATGCCTGAAGCTTGCTTTTTTCCTTTTTTCCAACACAAAGAAGAGTCCGGCCTGCTTTTAGATGATTCAGACAAAAGGCCGTTTCATGCAAAGGAGGGCTCCTTCCAAACGAATGGAAAGAAGTTCTAGCAAATGAAAGTTGCAGTGCCGTTGTGCAGTAATGGAAACAACCAGGGCACCAAGGACCCCCACAGCCCTCCTCTGCAAACCCCTTTCCCTTCTAGCACTGATAACATTACCCAAACGAGTCATGAAACGTCTGCAAGAAAACAGCTAAGCTTAGAGAGCATCAAGCACTCTACTGTTTTCCTCCACCCCACAAATTCCACTCCCTTCTAGCCCTGATGATGTTCCCTAGTTGGGTAATGAAACATCTGCAAGAAAATAATTAAGGGTCCCACAGTCCTCCTCCTCCTCCTCGCAAACCCCTCTCCTTTCCATCACTGATAATATGACCCAGTTAGCTGATGAAATGTCTGCAAGAAAACCACCAAGCTCAGAGAGCACCAAGGACCTCGTCTTAAAGTCCCAAATGACCTCACCTGTGTGAAGCTGCGTCCTGTCCGAATCCTGATTGTGACGGTAACAGCAGCGGATGGAAGAGATGGAGACCGAAGGGAGGCACTTGACGCGGAGGCCCAGAAAGAAAGACTCCACGCAGCTCCGGAGGGAATCCAGGAGGGAGAGCCCCACGGGCCCTTCGCTTAGGTCTGGCAACAGAAGCATCAAGGAACAAGGTCATGCAATTTCACGTGTTTATTTGGGGGGGAGGGAAGGGGGTCACATTTCCCTGTTGATGGGGAGTAGGGGAAAATGTTGTGTACACGGTATTGTGGGCTTTTAAGCCATGTTGATCTTAGCCAGGAAATCTCCACTTTGCTGTGGAAGGGAAGAGGAAAATTATTTAAGATAAATTTCCATCCGGTTTAAAGAATTTTAAAAATTGGAGGGGAAACTCCAATTTCATTGGGTACAGAGAGCCACGTGACCACATCTCAAATAATATTCCTCGACCAGAATTCCCACAGCTAGGCAAGATTTTTGTTAAGTGAAGCATGCCCGATTTTGCCATCTTTTTCGCCACGCTTGTTAAGTGAATCCCGCACTCGTCAAATAATTCACACCGTCATTAAGTGAATCCAGCTTTACCCATGTCAGAAGTCAGAAGCCAGCTGGGACAGTCACCAATGGCCATCACATGACCCCAGGACGCTGCAACCCAATCGCAAACACACGCCAGTTGCCAAGCACCCAAATTCTGATTACAGGCTACTGCAACTGTCGTAAACATGAGGACCGGTCCTAAGTCACTTTGAACGGTGGCTAAACAAATGGTTGTAAGCCAAGGACTACTTGTATACGGGCGTCAAAGCAATTTGAGAAAATGGACGCGGGAAAAGGCGGATGAAGCTTGTCAAATGTCACAGATTCTACTAGCCCTAGTAGAGTTTTACAACAGGTTAAGGGAACCTCCTCGGACTCTGACTCAGAAAGGAACACCAGGGAATGGAGTATCCCTGCTGAGGCTGTCCTAAGAAAGCTGCTATTGCAAAAGAAGGCAGGCAGGCATCTCCTCCTGCCTCCCTCCTTCAACTCCCATCGGCCAACTTACCTATGGGTTGCAGGTATATGTGCTTGCGGCAGAATCGTTGTTTTTTCTTTAGCAACGCGTAGTAAAAGGTCTCAAAATCCTCTGGGGCGTCGGGGTGGCTGAGGAGCCAATCAAAAGCCGTCCTGATGAACAAGCTGCAGAAAAGCGTCCGGCGTGGGTTATAGGCTTCGGAGAGGAAGAGCTTTTCGTTGCTGGAGAAAGTTTTCATGTAGAGCTCCTGCAAGGTGGGGTCGGTCGAAATCAGAGCGTCCTTCAGCGCCCGGGGCCCAAAGCTGAACTCCTCAGCATGCCGGCACTGCAACATCGCTGACGGCCAACTCTGGTGGGAAAGAGCCTTGCCTTCTGCAAAAGAGAGGAGCTGGCGATTAACCAGGTTACCCAGCTGGGCAAAGACTGGACAGCCATTTGGCTGAAATGGCATATAGGGCAGGGGTGCCCAATCTTGGCAATATTAAGACTTGTGGACTTCAACTCCCAGGATTCCCCAGATTCTAAGAGCTAAAAATCCATAGGTCTTAAAATTGCCAAGGTTGGGTGCCCTTGATATACGGCCTCTTGCTTAAGCAAGGATGGGATCCGACTAGAAGACCTCCAAGGTCTCTTTCAATCCCGTTATTCTATAATCTACGTTGTAAAGGGGTTCTTCTCCCTTCTGGAAAACACTGCCTGGAAAATCTCTGGCTTTTCAGAAACAGATTAAAGGTTCAGACATAATTAAATAGTTTCTTCCGGACCTTTTTGATGGAAGTCTAGTCCAAAGGTCTGTTGATGCGGCAGACTAATTCTCATAGTTCAAGAATGGTGTTATAAATATATCATGCAACAAACTTCTAGGAGCGCTTTATCTGCTTTGTAGTTCATGCACACTCCCTTTTAGGTCAAAAGGGGAGGCTTCTTATGCTTGATATGTTCATTGAAAGGCTTTCTGCTAAACAAGACACAGTCTAGATCAAATCTCTGTTCTTGGTTGATACAAATAGCTGCAAATTGTGACTGTATTTTTAAGTGTTTACACTCACGCCTAAAAACTTAACTATTAGTTATAGAAGGCACAGCTAAGTCAGGGACTGCGATTGTTTTACATTCTGTTTTCAAGTTTGCTTGGAATCCAGAAGTGCTCCTGGATATAATGACAGGTGAAATAAAATGGAATAAATACAGTTAAAGTGTGGAACGGAACAGAATTGGTTTCTGAAGCTTTTCCCCAGTAAGGCAAAGGAAATATAAAATGTCATTAATGCCTCCCACAAACACAACTGGAATATCAGAGAGCCATATTTAATGGCTAGGCTTTCCACTAGAGGAACATGGCTTATGGGAAACTTTCCAGCCCCGTAATGGAAAATTCCCGGAATTACAGCGACTACTAAAAAATTAATAATTTCTATTTCCTCAACTCTGGAAACGCTGATCTTCCACCACCTCACTCTTCCTCACCATTGTCCTGTTCCCGGATGTCCAGCTGGCTCTCCTCCCTTCAAGCAAGTTGAACTGCTATCTTGCCAAATCCCTCCCAAAAATTACACATCAGGAAAACTTGCTGCTGTTCCCCTTCGTTCATGAATAATTCTTTTTTTGTGACTTGGCTCCTCTTTAGCAACTCCCAGTGTGTGACAAGCGTCTCTGAATTATTCTGTTTGAAAGTATCCTTCTCTGCTACTCATAAACTGCTTTCCTCCAGCGTACCCCCATCCTCCTTGACCCCCCCCCCGTTAAAACATATACCGAAGAAATAACTAGATGCCTGCAGGGTAATAAAACCCCAAACCATCCTTCTTTAGGAAAGAAAGTGATGTTTCAACATGCTGGGGGTAAAAAGGCACTTTAATGAATTCTCTCAGCTCTTCTTGGGGACTTGCGCTAGTTAATGAGATTTTCTTGGTTTTTACATGGTCCCATTTGGGTTTCTAGTAACCAGTAAAATTTCTGTATTTCTGTAGGGCGAACAATATTTTATTCAAGGACCCCCTATGGAAGTGTTAATAATGGTATTGAAAATCTGTTGTTGTTGGGGTTTTTTTTGTCGTTTTGTTTCTGACTGTATAAATTTCCCTATAAACCACACAATCCCCAGTAGAAACCCAGCAGTTATTTACACTATTACCACTGTCCAAGCAGCTTGCTTTTAGTCCAGCATTTCTCCAATTTGCAAACGTTAAAACGTTGGACTTCAGTTCCCAGAATTCCCCAGCCAGATTCCCACAGGGAATGCTGCGACAGTTATAGGGGGGAGGACTCATCGTAAGTCATTCTCCTCAGCACTGTTGTAACTTAGTTTTGAGTCTGTCTGGTGTGAATCCAGCCAACTGGAGTAGGGTCAACAAACCATGATTAAATCAACTCTGTCAATGCAGGATGAGACCGAATGGATGCCCTGTTTTGGTACTTAGTACATGAATGCCAGAACGTGCCTTCTAAGGAGGCAGGAGTTTTATAGAAGAGAATAAATAAAATCTGGCATGCATAGATTAAGCTTCCCTGAAGCCTTAGAGGCAAAACAGGGTCTTGAAATGTTTCTGGAATCATTGGCAGGACAGGAGCAAAAACGAAGCTGCTCTTGTTTGGAAAGAACAGGAACAAATGACTTCTGTCTTAATGCTTTGGTTTCATCCAGAAGGAGAAGATTTTGCATCCTAGTTCCTCTTACTCGCTGCTTCCCCAAAAAGATACGTGAGAAACGATTTTCAGATTCAATTTTACTCCAATGTATGTATTCCAGTCTACCTTCCTTCTGGCCTGGCTTCACGGATTTGGGGGTAGGTGTAAAAAGAGAGGAGACAGCCCACATAGGACCATCTAAGTAAGAACTTCCTGGCAGAGATAGAGTTTGGCCCCAAACGTGATGACATCTTTCTAACATTCATCAGACCCACAAGTGTGGGAGGGAGCACATGCAAAGCCAGGAAAGGCAGAGATTAATTTAGTTGCACAACTTGCTACCTTTGGGCTCTTGGTGGTTTCTGAGCTTGGTTGTTTTCTGGCTGATGTTTCATGACCCAACTATGTAACATCATCAGTGGTAGAAGAACATGGAGGAGGAGGAGGAGGAGGAGGACTGTGTGGTCCTTGGTGCTCTCTCAGCTTGGCTGTTTTCATTCACATAAGCAGCCTGATCAGTGGTAGAAGGAAGTTTTGCTCTCTATTTATTATCCTTTCAATAGCAATACAATAGCACTTAGACTTATATACCTCTTCCTTCCTTCCTTCCTTCCTTCCTTCCTTCCTTCCTTCCTTCCTTCCTTCCTTCCTTCCTTCCTTCCTTCACAGCCCTCTCTTGAGTGGTTTACAGAGTCAGCTTCTTGTCCCCAACAATCTGGGTCCTCATTTTATGGAAGGACAGAAGGACGAGTCCACCTTGAGCCCCGTCAGGAACAAACTCCAGGCGGTGGGCAGAGTCAGCCTGCCATCCTGCCTCCTGGCCACTGCGCCACCAGGGCTGCTTCTAGCATTGACGGTATTATCTAATTGGGCAACCACCCGTCTCCAATCTTTTCTTTTCAGCCCACCCTGGCTTAGGGCAGGGGTTGAATCGGAGGCTGCCCTCACCTGTTCAACTGACCGTGGATGGGAAGGTGCTGATGCCAAGATTGTGGTCTGCTCCTTCCCAGCATTGAATTCAGACGAGTGGCAGTTTGAGGGAAACAGCCACACCACCTACCCTCCCTCCCTCCCCATCATTTCTTGCCATGCTTTGCAGGCTTGGAAAAGGGGAGCAAGGCTTGGGGGGGGGGAAATCTCCTCTTTTGCCCACCTCCACCCCAGCTGCGCAGCTTTCCCCCCCCCCCCCCTCGCGGAAGGGAACCGTCTCTCTCCTCGCCCCGACGGCTCCCAGGCGCTCCGACTACAGCAGAAAGATGCGAATCTCCCGCCGCGCAAACCCTCCGCCCTGCCGCCGGCGCGTTTCCCTCTCCGGGAGTGGGGTCGGGGCCTCGATCGAGGACACCCCACCCCGCCCGCTGGGCCAGGCAACCTTAGGGCGAGGGTCTCGCCGTCCTTAGGGCGCGGGGAAGGGGAGAGCCTGGCTCCCCGGGGCCCCGCAAACTCTCCGGCGCCCCGCAAACGCGACTTGCCCGTCCGTCTCTCCGCCGATGCTCTTCGTCGGGGGGGAGAGGGGTCGGCGAAAGCCCCTCTGCGATCCCCGGTCCCTGCGGATTTTACCCGGACCCCGTCCGTGCCTTTCTCCCCTAGCATCTTCCTCCTTCCTCCCTCCCTCCCTTTCCCTCTCTCCTTCCCGCTCTCTCTCTTTCCTTCCTTCCTTCCCTCCCTCCCTCCCTTTCCTTCCGTCTCTCCTTCCCTCTCCTTCTTTCCTTACCTCCTTCCCTTCCTCCCTCCCTCCGTTTCCTTCCTTCCTTCCTTCCTTCCTTCCTCCCTCCCTCCCGTCTCCCACCTTTACAAGCGACCGCGGCTGGGTCTGCCTCCTTCCCGCAACGGGGCAGGGTCTTCTTCGGCCGGGTGAGCGGCCACGGGACTTGCCGCTCGGACCGCGGCTGGGCTGCGTGACGCCGCTGGCTGGCCTTTCTGCAGAGCTCGGCGGGCTGGCAAGCGCTGGCTGGCTGGCTGGCTGGCTGGCTGGCTGGTTGATTGGGCGGGGAGGGGGGGCAGCACCGGAGGGAAGGATGCTTCCGAGCCCGTGACGTTGCGGAGGGGGGAGGCGACCTGCTTTGGGGGGCGGGGGGGGAGTCGGTCGAGGGAAGCCGCGGCGAAGTTCCCACTGGAGGAAAACAAGGCGCGGGGACTCCCCACTGCCGCCGCTGGCGGGATTGGGGTGGGGGGGTTGCTGGAGGGGGATGTTCGTGTGGATGGTTTTTCGATGGCCGTTTTCCAGAGGAGGAAAGGTGGCTGGTAATAATGATGATGATGATGATGATGATGATGATGTTGTTGTTTTGGGATTGTAATAGGCTCCTTGAGTGCAATACCAAAACAACTGGAGCACCACTTGAACACCATTAGCATTGACAAATTCGCTATTAGTCAATTGCAAAAGGCGGCCTTACTAGGAACTGCTTCCATCCTGCGACGATATCTGTAATACCATCAAACACCCACATCTGCCTATCCCAGATCCTGGGTAAGGACAAAATGCCAAATCCAGTCTGAACATCTGGCTGACTGTGCGATGATCCATAATAATAATAAACAATAACATGCAAACTGGCTGAATCCCACCACTAGGGTTTCCTACCTGAGCAGGGGGTTGGACTAGAAGACCTCCAAAGACCCTTCCAACTTTGTTATTCTGCCTGGGGGAAAACACACTAGTTGTCAAAAGTAATCCAAATAGTTCTCTCTACAATTTTTTTTTTGGGGGGGGGGTCCTTTTTCTTTCATTAGAAATATCCAGGAACCATTTAAGGATAGTATTCCTTGTGTTGGCATCCTTTAGTTTGCAACTCCCCTCCTGGCTGAGGATTATGGGTGACATAGTCTGACACATCTGGCAGACCTCAGTCCAGATGTGGGTTGTTGGAAAGGGCTTGGGTTCCCTTCCCACAAAATCAGTTACTACCCCCCACCCCCCAATGGGATCAAGGTCCACATTTGTGCAAAACCCATATTCAGTAAAACCCTTACTTTATTAGTCATCCCGGATGCTGAATTTATTTCCGATCCATACACGTGTGATTGTTTAGTGGACATGATTGAATAGAACATTTGTGAGCTGCTTAAGAGTCATATTAAAAAAAAAACCTTATAAATCAGCTCTCTGCTCTGCAGTAAATGCTTCCAGGAACAAATGTAATTCTTCGCATTCGTACCTTTGGCTGGCCTTGGCGTTAAGGGGTTATTTCCCCCACCTTTTCTATTAAGTTCTGACTTGAGTCTTTGCCCACACAGATCTCGGACTTGACTCAAGAACTCCCCCCCTCCCCACTAAATCAACGCAGAACCTGCGAACAGCACATTTGTTCAGATTTCCTAGTGATACATCAAGAGATGCACGGTGCCAATAGAAACCTACTTGCTCCATCTGAAGGCAGCCAAGCACTTTTTCCTTCATCTGTTCTACCCAAATTGCTGCGAGGATGAAACGGGCGAGAAAACTGCATTTACCACCCCGAGGAAGGAAAAAAAAAAACTTAGCTGTAATCATTTATAATCACCCTGATTATCATCCAGGGCTCTACAGCAGGAAATAAGCGTGGTTCCATGTAAGAAAATGCATTTAAAAAGAACTCCATTTAGCTGCCCAGCCCTCCCCTGGGATCGCTTTCAGCTCTCCTCCTCTGGCTTTCGTCCTTCAATAACTAAGTGGCCTGCCACACAGGGTTCAGCTCTGGGGGTATCGCTACATGGAATGGGACACCTCGCCACGGCCAGGACAATTTTAACAACTCAATTATTTAACTCAAACAATTATTTTATTTTTTGTCATTCACCTTTCATCCTGTCCCTCCTTTTGCATCTGTTCTTTAACGATTCGTTTCCATTTCTTTGATATGAGTGTTAACTCTTGTCCTTCAGCGAGCTGTCCCATGGTAGCTGGCCATGGCAAATTGTCATAGATCTGCTCCACAAACCTCCGGATGTAGGTTGCTACTTGAGGAGCTCAAATGAACCCTCCATTTTTTCCCCCAAGGGTTCT